CAGCATTGAACAAAATAAAAAGATTCTTGCCCTCAGTGGAGCAGTCACTTAAGGATGGGGAGAGGCAAATAATAATAAAGTAAATAAGCAAATTATATAGTGTACTGGGAGGTGAGGGGGAAAAGTTGAGTGTTGGAGGGTGTTGAGGCCAGGGGTAGGGTTGCCATTTTGAGTGTTGGAGGATGGTCTGGGAGTTCTCCCTGAGGAGGTGACTTTCAAGCTAAGGTTTTGAGGGAGTGAGCTATGAGGACTAAAGATCCCACAGAGAACAGTGCAAAGGCCCTGGGGCTGGGGTGTGCCTGCTGTATTTGAGGAACTGTAAGGGGCCAGTGCAGCTAGGGTGGAGTGAAGGGGTGGGGAAGAGATAGGAGACAAGGCTGGCAGAGAAGGAATAATCCTCCCCATTTCACAGATAGGGGAAATGATGCTCACAGATGACATATAAGTCACCCCAGGACCAGCCACCCAGGAGTGGCAGCTGCAGGGTGGGGTGTCTTATGTTCTGACTCCTAGCCCTTGATACTTTCCCTTCATCCTGCGTCTCGACCATTTATCCACAGCACTGGTTGTGCCCCTCCCAGGGCCAGGCCTGGCTGAGTGCTGGGGATCTGAGGGAAGCTACCCAGGGACGAAGGGACTCCATATTCTGCAAACTGTTGCTGTCGCCCTCCCCAGTTCTCCCTGCCCACCTGTCAGGAAGCAGCATCTTCCTACTGAGCCAGAGTGACCCTGTTCTTTCTCTTCCCATTTCCTTCCTGTGGCCACCCCCTTGTAAGCATCCCACTCTGTATCCACATGTAGCCCTGGAAAGGGGCCTGTTCTGAAGCTCAAATGGTCAAAGGGGAAACTGAGGCAAAGAAGTTGAGTTTCCTAGTCTGAAAATAATAGCACCATTATTTTTGAGTGTCTGCTATAAACAGGTACTTGTTCTAGGTGTTTTTTTTTTTGCGCATCTTACCTGTGGGAGGTGGGTGTCATTATTACACCCATTTAACAGATGAGGAAACTGAGGCCCAGAGAGGTGATATCATGGGCCCAAGTCCAGGTAGTTAATAATTGGTGGAGCCAAGATAACAGCAGAGGTCTTTTGAGACATGACTCACTCCTTTAGCCACTAAACCAGAGCTCCAAACCCTAGGGAGATAGTTTTAGACTGTGATTCTGGCCCATCAGAGTTCTAGGAAAAAGTATAGGGACCTTCTGCTTGCCTCCCCCAACCCACCCCAAGGGCAAATAACTACTTGCTTATGAAAAAGTTAGCTCAAAATAGTGCAGCTTCTCTCTACAGAAACTCCCTTCCCACCTGTCTCTCCTCCCCTCCGAGTTTCTAAACATCTACAGGGGTGGGGGGAGGTGGGAGGAGCGGAAGGGGAGAGGGGTTTTTCCGCTGCCTTTTCACAAGAGTTCTGGCCCCATGGGATCTAGAAGTACCAGCTGTCTTTGAGGGCCCTGATGTGGTTACTGGGCCGAGGGGGAGGCTGGCCCATTCCTGGGTTGAAAAGGACAAGAATTCTCCCATGTGCTCTGCCCTTTGTGAGTGACAGTAGGGACAGGGAAGTCCCTCTCAGTGACTTCCGAGTGATGGTGGGCACCCCCCACCCCCTTGGCCACAGCAGCAGCTTCAGAGCCCTGGGTGAGGTCCCCAGTGATGTCCCCTCCTTGCCCCTTGTCCTGCCCTGCCCTCTCACCCTCTCCAACACAGTAGGGAATGTTTATTTTTTGTCCCTGAGGCTTTGGAGATGTTTGTTTGGGATGAAAATTTGGGCTTTCTTCTATCCTTCTGGAAATTAGGCAGCTTCAAAAGAAAGAGAGATAGAAAGAATGCGTGTTTCCGGAGCCAATGAGAGAGAGGTGGTGGGATTTGGGGGCGGGGTCTTTGTTGTAGCTGGGGTGTGGCTGGGGAGCCTCAGGGTTTGGAAGCCAAATCACCAATATCACAGCTGCAAGGGGCCCTGGAGACCACATTCCCATTTTTTAGACTAAGAAACTGAGTCCAAAGTCAGGCCCTGGCTTCAGTGATGGCAGAATCTGCTGGTGACCTCAGCTCTCCTGTCTCCCAGCCCAGTGACTCAGGGCTTACCCGCCAGCCTTCCAGCTTCAGTGCAAACCCTCTGCTTCCAGCTTCTGTGTTCCTGGAGTTTCTTGGGATCCCGTTCTTGACTACACAGCTTTGACATAGGGACTGGCTTGTGCCCCAGCAGGATTCCCATCATGTTCCTTCCTTTCCCCAGCGAGTTCTTCTCTGTCATCCTCGCCCTTTGCAGCAGCGTAGACACTGACACAGAGCCCGGAGCCCGGTGGTGATGCTGGGACTGGAGAGAGATGGATGATGCAGTCCCCACCCTCAACTGGCTCACCGGCTACGTGGGAGACAAGGCGGCGTTAGGCAGGCTAGCCTTTAGAATAATTACGCTATGCTCTCGAGGGACACACTGCAAAGAAGTGCTGCCGCGTGGCAGCCTCACCTTGGCTTCTGCTCTTAGTCTGTGTGCCCTGAGGACCCCCCGACCAAAACCTGCAGCCCAGAGGCCTCTTTGATAATGTCAGTGTTGTAGCTATGTGACTTCTTAGTTTACTGTAACCCTGCTGAACCTGGTAAATCAGGTATTGTCACCTCCATTTATAGCGAAGGAACAGAGGCCCTGGAAGTTAATCTGCCCAAAGGCACAGGACTAATGATGCACAGCCGAAAGACTTGGACCTTTGAGATTCTGAGATTCACCCTGCCAGAGGGCCCAGGTGGTAGGTTCTGGGGTTGGGACCTTTAAACCTCATCTTGCCTAAGGGGCTGATAAGCTGTCCCAGGAAGGCACCACCAGGAGGGCGATGCAAGCTCTGGACCACCCAAGTCCCATGGCCCCCTTGCTGGGGCTCTCCCGGCCTCCCCTTCTCTCTGGCCAGGGCCAGAAGGCTCTGTCTCTCACTGCCCCCACTCCTGTGCTGCGTGTCCCAGACCCCATTTCCAGCTATTTTGCACCACTGTGATAACAGAACAATGGACCTCCCACAGCCCTTCCCCAGTCCTGCTGGAGCTCTGGGGCCTTAATCCAAGGGAGGCTGGACCTCAGCATGGAGTTCAGAGGCTGGCGATCTGCCAGGGACTTTCAAGGGGAGAGGTGATGGGGGAGATGGCTTAGAGCTTAGTTCTTTTTGGAGGTCAGGTTCACTACACAATACCCACCACCCCTCCCCCGACACACATGCACATGCACACGCACACCATCTCCTCTCAGAATATCCAGCTAGGCACAATTAACTTGATTCAGAATTCAGCTCTGCCACTTACCCCAGGAAACACTTGCATAAGTCCCTTAGGCCTTAGTTTCCTCATCTGTAAAATGGGAGTCATAATACAGCCATTCTCATAGGGCTGTGGGGGTTACACAGAATTCATGGTCTGAAGTACCTTCCCCACCCTCCTTTCCTGGGGCGGATGTTTTTGGGGCATTTCTCCTTACCAGATGGGGAGGAACAGGTGTGCTGCCCCTCCAGCAGAGGAAGTGGTTCTTGGCTGTGACACTCAACAGCAGTGACTCCCCCCTGAATCACCGGAGGCTTGGCAGCTTGTGGGTGTTCTGGGCCCCAGGCCCCTTTCTCTCCCGACTCCTCTGCCTGTCAGATTCCTAGGCCAGCCCTCGTGGGGGCACAGTCTCCATGAAGGGGACGACTCTGCAGTCCATCTGTTTCTATGGAAACCAGGCTTCCTGGGAAGGCTACGGTGGGGGAGGGGTGGAGAGGTCCTCCAGGACCAGCTCTGAATGATGCCCCAGCCCCATATGATACGCTGGCAGGGCAGGTCCTGGACAGCCACCCTGTAATGTGCTTAATTGCTTTTCTTTGGGGAGCACATAACAGGTGCCGGGCCCCTCCACTGCCTTTCTTCTGTCTGATCGCAGTCGTGCGAGCTAAGAAGATGTAGTGTGGTTTCACAAATGAGGAAATGGAGGCTCAGAGAGCTTTAAATAATGTTCTTGTGATCACAGAACAATTAAGAGAGAGGATTGGGGTTTGAGACCAATTTTGCCAAATCATTAAGCACGTGCCCCCCGATCCCCCCTGACACTTGTAATGCCCTCCGGCAGCCCCCATGAGCCCTCCCTTCCTGGTCTGGTTCTGTCCCGGGGGCTCTGCTTGGCCTCTGGCCTCCCCTTCCATCTTGCCACCACTGGGGCTGTTCCTCTTTGGGGATGTTCTTTCCTGACCTCAGAAAAGGAAGGCGGAAGGAGCTGCAGGGGAGGGGGACCTTGGCCAGCAAGGACCCTCCAAGCCCCTCCCCTAACTTAACTACTTTGTCACCAGTGTTTGTTGGACTGTCTAGACCCAGAGAATAAAACCTTCAGTAACCCTCTCCCTGAGCAGTGATGCAGCAGCTTTCTGCAGTGGCAGGGGTCTCACCCTACATTCTCACCCAACCTCTGACCGTTTCCTGGGCCCCCCAGATGCCAGGCTTTCCACCCACTCTTCTGGAGCCTTCAGCACCCCAGATCTGCTTGCCCAAGGCCACCTGGTCAGTAGGGGGTGCGGATTCCAACCCTGCTCTGCCTGACTGTAAAGCTCGCCTGTGGCCTGGGGCAGAGCCGCACGCTCTGGGCCTCCTTCCTGCCCTGTCCAGAGCAGTCTCCGCTCGGGCCCCGCCCGGTCTGAGTGTGATCTGAGTGTCCTTAGCGGGGTTAGGGAGGCCTGCTTCTCTCAGTCGGACTGTCCCTTGTTTGCCTGTGCTGACAAAGTGCCTGTGTGCCCGGGCCAGCGGGGAGGTTCTTGGGCCTGCCTTCGAATCACTGGGTCTCGGGGAGGCCAGCTGGCCATGCAACGATGAGATATATGGGCCGGAAGTGGCCCGTGGCCACCACACTGAGACCCCTGAGAGTCAAGAGCGGGGAGGGCACTGTGCCCTGGGAAGGCCTCCTGGAGGAGGGGGCTTTGCAAAGACCCCAAGGAACAGGGGGCACCGGGATGAGGGGAGCCGAGGGCAGGGTGAGCCTTCCTGGTTGGGCAGTGGTTCAGAAGGGGAGCCAGCTGTTGACAGGACAGTGATTTGCTGGTTTACTGGGAATTGAGGTCAGAGCTGCTGGCCAGGGGCAGAGCGCAGAGGATTGTGAATGAAGAGTCTGGGAGCTGAAAGTCACGTTGTCTCTTCTTGCCTTGGGGGTGCCTCTGAGTGAGCGTGGAGGTGGAGGGGCATGCCTCCTCCTGCCCCGTCCCCTCGCCTCAGGCAGACTGGCACCCGAGGGGCCCTTCAGAAAGCAGTGGGCCTAGGAAAGGGTGCATGATAGCTGTGACAGGCAGGCTTTTTCCACTGTGCATGGCTGAGTGAAGAAAAGGAAGGAGCCAGAGGGCAGGGCGCTTCGCTGCAGGGACCCACCTGTACTCGCTGACACTCCCCCACTGCACGGGGCAGGGCCTGGGGCTGGGAGAGCTGCGGCGTCTTGCAGAACCAGGATTCAAACCCAGGTCTGGCTGTTCCAAAGCCACTGCTCAGCTAGTGTGCAGGGGAGTGGGGGAGGCTCCCTCTGTCCTCTCTTAGTAAAAATGGGGATAGTCCTAAAAGAAACACCTGGAGTGGCCTTGTAAGGAAGGAAAGTTCAAGGGCAGATCAGAGTTGGGGGGGGGTGTTTAGAGGCGCATGTGAGTTGTAGCTGCCCGCCTGCCCCCACTCCCCTAGGCAGGGCCCAGTCCCGTGGGTAAAGGAACAACAGGACTCAGGGCTGAGAGCACTTAACTCTGCAGGGCCAGGTGCTGGGTACCCTTCCCCCTTGGAGGATGTAGGGCCCTTTGTTGGTGGGGAGCTCGCTGCTGGGGCTGGGCTCTGGGGGTGGCTGCAGTGGGTCCACCAGTCCAGATACCTGAGGGCAGTGCCTGTGGATGAAGCCCGTCCCACCTAAAGGTGATGCTGGACGTCACATGGAGCCCAGGACACTGTAGTCCCCCTTCTGTACCAGCCCCGGGCCTGTGATACAGAGGGAAGCGCTGTGTCTGTGGTGGTGGGGAGGGCTTACGGGCAAAGGAAGGTGGCTGACCCTCTGAGCAGGGTTTGTTGACACAGCCCAGGCCCGAGTGTCAGCCTTATGCCATGTGACTGAGGTCTGGGGGCTTTGCCCAAGGGGCAGAGAGGTCAGGAAATGCTAGTTGGCCCCTCTCCTGATCCTCTCTGATCCCCACTCCAGAGACCCTGTCACGTGGGGAACATGGGGAGGAGCGAGTGTCTGTGTCTAAGTGCCCATCTCAACCCAGCACTTTGGCCAGGTCAGGCACTGCCCCACACTCTTCACGGATATCCCATCTTGTATTCTCACAGCATCCCTGTGAGGGAGGGCCCTTTATTTTCCCAACTACAGATGGGTTGACTGGGGCACAGAGAGGTTAAGTCACTCGCCTACAGGCACACAGCTAAGCAGTGTAGATGTGGGATTTGAACTCAGAGTATGACTTTAGCAGCTAAGCTCTCCCAGCTTTACTTGTTAGCTGGCACTTCATAAAATACTCCCTGTCCATTATCTTGTTTCTCCTTTGACACGCCCTGGGGGAAAAGTAAGGATTGTTGTTTCCGTTGCACAGATGAGTACACTGGGGCTCAGAGATAAGCTTGCTCTGATTCATGGCTGACAGATCATGTCCCTCTCCCCACCCAGGCTGTAAGCTACCTAAGGGGAGGGGCCAGGTCCCTCCAGCCTGTACCTGGCTCACAGCACATCCTCACTAAATGCAGTTCTTTGATTTAAATGTGCAGGTGTTCTGTTGTGTGTTCTGATCAATCTCTTCATTTTGCCCCTAGAGCTTTAGGAGCTGGGAATTATAGCTCCATTTCACAGATGGGGAATACTGAGGCAGAGCAGTGAGGTGACTTGTCCACTAAACATAGCCAGTAAGGGACACAGCAGGGTTGAGTGAGGCAGCCTAGCTGGCCTGGGTGAGAAGGGTTTAAACACCAGGGAGACCTATATGAAGGGCTAAAGTCAAGTCTGGCCATACCTGGTGCTGGCGAGGACGTGGAGGAACGGGAACACTCGGGCATTGTAGGGCAACGTACATGGTTCGCTGCTCTGGAAAGCAGACTGGCACTTTCTCCTCGAGTTAAACGTAGATTTCTCGTATCACTCAATATAATCCCACTCCCGAGTGTCTACCTCAGAGAAAGGAAAACTGGTGCTCACGCAAAACCTGCACGTGAATGTTTGTAGCAGCTCTGTTCGTAATCATCAAACTGGCCACAACTCAGACGTCCTTCACTGAGGGACGGGGTAAACCAACCAGTACATCCATGCCAGGGGATTCCACTCTGCTGTCAAGAGAAAGGGACCTTGACAGCATGCACGCAGAGGCCTGGGTGAATTTCAAAAACATGTTTCTGAATGAGAGAAGCTGGTCTCCAAGGTTATATATTGTATGATTCCCTTTAGGTAACATAGTTGAAGAAACAGAACTATAGCAACGGACAACAGATGGTGGTTGCCAGGGGTGAGGGGAGGATGTGACTGGTGATGTGGCCGCCCCGGGCCCTGATTTGGAGGTGGTGGTTACCTAGATCTAGCTATACATGTGCTAAAATTCGTGTAACTGCAAACCACAAAATTGGTCTATTTTGCTGTATGCAAATTAAAAAATAAAAGGCCAGAGGGAAGGCCGGAAGAGGAAGGGTGGCGACCAGGCAGGTGAGGGGGCCAGCTCTGTGCTGTTCTCTGCAGTGGCTCCCGTGGGCAACCTCCAGTGGGTCCAACCTGGCAGCTGGTGGGGACACCAGGCTGATTGTAACTTCTACCTGGATTCACAGGAAGGTGGTGGCAGGTGGCCGAGGTGTTGTGACAGCGCCCCCTTGAGGAGCAGTGCAGTTAAACCCTGGCCGTGGCAGTGGGGCGGCTGCCCTGCTGACTCGCTTCGGGCAGAGCTGCCTTCCCGGTCACCACCAGCTGCCTCCCGTTCCGCGGGCGTGTGTTTGTGTGGGAGGGAAAGCACAGCTGCCCCCCACTTTACAGAGAGCTGGGCCGGGGGCTTAGGAGGGCGTCGGGCCTGGACATCACTCACCAAAGACCTCCAATGGTGACGTTGGCCACTGTTTCCCAACTGGAGCCGGTAAGCTACCTGCCCAGTTCATCCAGTCTCTTTAGAGACCACGTTATCCAGCACCCTACAGTGCCTTTGTTCTGGTATTTACTTGCTGGGTGCTTTATTTTGTTTTAAGCCCCTGGGAAGCTGGAAAACTGGAGGTGACCTGGGGACATTCCTGCCCCTAGCAGTCCTGGCTGGGGCTGGGAGGGTGCGACTTGCCTGGGCCCACACAACCGAAGGCCTGACTCTGAGGCCTGGGCAGGGGTGTCCAGCAAGCCCACCTCGGGCCCCTGGCTGAGGGACAGGCAGCTTCGGAGCCTTGTGGTTATTGGGGTGGTTTTCCTGCCTCACTGGACGATGGCTGTGGGTGGGGATGATGGGCTGGAATCTGGGAGGCACCCAGAGCTGGCTGGGCCTGTGATAGGGTGGGGGTGCTGTGCTTATTCGACCTGGTTTCTGTTGAACCTCACTGAACTCGGTTTCCTCGTCGGTAGAGTGAGTGGAAATAATACCCATCTTGCAGGCCGCTGTGATCAGAGGAGCCCGGGGCCAGCTTCCAGAAGCCTTCACCTCGCTGAGGTTTATGCTGTTGTCTCCTCCGCGTAGATTTTGTGCTGACTGAAGGCAAGGACAGCCACTTCAGCGTCTTCGTCACCTAGCCTAGTGACTAGCACACAGTAGGTGCTCAAGAGCTGGCCCGAGGTGGAGCTGGGGTGAGGCCGGGACTAGGGGCCATCGAGGATCATGGGCAGACATGGAGGAGGTCAAGGGGAGGCGGGTGGGGGATTGCTGATGGCAGGGAGGGGCAGGGCCCAGAACGCTGCCCTGCCCCTCTTCTGGCTCAGCCGGGTTCTGGGGTCACCCCCTCCCTTTCTTTTCAGTCCTGGCAGGTTTGAGGGAGGTTGGGGGATATGAGGGAGGGCTTGCTCAGCAGCAGGAATTGTCTGGGTGAAAGTTCAGTGGGGGCCTGGAATTCAGGCCCAGAATTCAGGAGCTCCTGCCTAGGCTTGGGCAGACATTTCTTCTGGCAGGACTGACCCAGACTTCAGTTTTACAGACGAGGAAGCTGAGGCCAGGAAAGGGCAGTGACTTGCCCCTTTTTCATCACATAGCTGGGTGGTTAGGAAGCCCAGTACTGAGCCTAGGCCCTCCGATTCCTCCTGTGTACACTTGCTGTCCTAGCCTGACAAAGAGGCCTCCCTGGATCCTGGGCCAGAGTCTGGCCACCTTCTGAGATCCGGAAGCCGGGCAGGACAAGAAGCTGAGGCCAGATCTCCCCCCAGCCCTCCCGCAGAGGCCGGGCTCCAGGACAAGATGGCAGCCAAGCAGCCCCCACCTCTTATGAAGAAGCACAGCCAGACGGACCTCGTGAGCCGCCTGAAGACCCGCAAGATCCTGGGCGTGGGCGGGGAGGACGATGACGGGGAGGTGCACCGCTCCAAGGTGGGCCGGGAGTGGGGGCCTGGAGCCGGCCACACGGGGGGACTGCCTCTGAGCACCAGTTTGGGGAGTCAGGTCTGGCCCATACCATTTGGGGAATAGAGGAACTGAGATCCATAGAGCTGCAAGGAGACCCGGAATTTAGCTCATATTTTCTGGAAACTCGATGGATTTATTAGAGGAATAGCAGCAATAATGAAAGCAGGTGCTTAGAGTTAGCTGAGTGCTTATTATGTGCTTGTTACGGCACCAGCTGCTTTATAAGCATTATTTAATCTTGCTAGCCCTGGGAGGTGTTGATACATTTATTAACCCATTTTATAGATGAGGAAACTGAGGCTCAGAGAGGTTAAGGACTTGCCTAGGGCCACACCGGTAAGTGGCAGAGCAAGGCTTCAAGCCTGCATTTAGAAGACCCCTGAGCTTTCATCCTCAGCTACCCTATTGTCAGTGTTTTCAGCTTCCCTAAAGCCCTGTTGTTAAGAGGAGGCAGAGGGGAGTGGCCTCAGTGTGACTCTCCCAGCTTGGGGAACCCTTTAGCTAAGCAGAGGCACCCAGGTGGGACACTGGGCCTCCCAGGAGCTCTGGGAGGGTGTGGGTTGGCTGGTTGCCTCTGATCCCTCTGTGTCCACAGATCAGCCAGGTCTTGGGTAATGAAATCAAGTTTGCTGTTCGGGAGCCTTTGGGGCTCAGGTGAGCATTTACCTGTGAGTTTTGGTGGGGGGAGGGGCTGCGTTAGACCCCGCCTCGTCAGCCTTGCCCCTGTGTAGTCTTGTGCTTGGTACTGCCCCTTCTCATTCCCTCCCCCAAGACCAGCCATCCCCGGGCACCTCGGCTAGAGAGAGGAGGGTCCCAGGAGGCCTGGGGGTGGCAGCGAGGGGTCTGGCTGTGACCTTTCTCTCCACGCCTCCCCAGGGTCTGGCAGTTTGTTTCTGCTGTGCTCTTCTCTGGCATCGCCATCATGGTGAGTCCCAGCCCCACCCCTGGGACCTGGCCCTGGGTCTGATTCCACCTCCCTTGCCCTGGGGCCCCTGCTGCCTCTCCCTACATGGCCATCATGCTGAGGCCCCACGTGTCCAGGCCGCCTCCATGGCCTGGCTCCCGGCACTCATCCCCACCTGTGCCCTGCCCTGGAGCATCCTAGATCCCGTGGTCCATTGTTCCTGTAACCCCAGATCCTCTGTCCTGGCATAGAGGGGTAGGGGCCAGTCAGTGTCCTGACCCTGGAGTGCTGCTGAGGGATGACATCCAGGGGAAGTTTCAACAGTGTCCCCTCACCCCAGGGCTCCCTCCCGCTGTCCACAGGCCCTGGCCTTCCCTGACCAGCTCTACGATGCTGTCTTTGATGGAGTCGAGGTGACCAGCAAGACCCCCATCCGCCTCTATGGTGGTGCCCTCCTCAGTAAGTATTGCTGGGGTGGACTCTGGGGAGATGATGGGCAGCTGGGGGAACAATGACAGCCGAGAGAAACGTGGGGAGCCTTTCATTGTGCAGGGGCTCCCCTTCCCAGAACCCGCCCGTCTGCTGATGTCTGTCTCTGCTGAGTGTGTGCTGCCATCTTGTGGCCACTGGTAGAATGTACCCAGTGGACTGGGGCTCTGTCTTTGGCAGCATCTGAGACAAAGCCCTTATCCAGTGTTTGCTATGTGTAGCGCATCATTGGGGCATTGGGGTACAGAGATGAATGGAGCCCAGGCTCTGCCCTCCAGGGCCTCACAGCCTAGAGGAGGAGGCAAAATCAACATGGTGTTTGTAAAACCCTCACCCTTGGGCCTCTCATTTGAACCACTTCTGTTTCCTCTTCAACTTGAGTTACATCCAAGCAGTACCTGTTAGCAGGGCGAATTACAGCATTAAAACCCAGCACTGGTGGTGTTCCTCCTCTTCTCCGAAACACTCTATGGCTCCCTACTGCCTGCAGACTAAAGTCCCATCTAAAGTTCCTGGTATTCTGGGTCATCTGTGGGGTGGATCCTATCTCCCTTCACAAACCTCCCTCTTGCACATCCCATGGTGGGCCCCGGACTCCAGCCACGCCTCGTCATGCCCAATCCCCAGATCCAGAAGGCCTCCATGCCTTTGCACACTCAGTTTCCCCAATCTTGTGCCGACATCTACTCAACCTTCAAGGGCCAACGCCAATACCTCGCGGGTAGGGGGTGAGGGGGTGGAGACTGGGGCAGCTTCAGGCCCTTCAGCCACGCAGCTTAAGAGCTAGAGTGAGGGGGTTACAGGTTAAATTGGATGACAGATGAGTTTTTATGAGGAGTTGAGTAGGGGCACTGTCTGTTGGGGATCCTGGCCACTTTGCCAAAGGGAAGAGGAACAGGCCTCTTGCTGCTGTCCCGTCTCCAGTCCCCTCTTTGTCCCCCACCCCAGGCATCTCCCTGATCATGTGGAACGCTCTCTACACGGCTGAGAAGGTTATCATTCGATGGACTCTGCTCACTGAAGCCTGTTACTTCGGGGTCCAGTTCTTGGGTGAGTCCTGAGGTGGGCAGTGAGGGAGGGAGCAGATGGGGTTAGGGGGTGCTTGGCCCCTGGCCTCCCAGCTCTTGCCACTTGGTTTCCAGGATGTGAGGAGAACCTGCGTGAGGGGGAGGGACTCATGTGGCTGTGTTTACCTGTTCACTGGCACACCTGTGCTCACACAGCTGACATGCACCAATGTCTTCCTGAATACACACACGCCGTGCACCTATAGCTTCCCATCCCCCACTGCTCACCTATGTACCCAGCACCAGCATGACGGTGCACACCCAGTTTTGCCCACCTGCTCATCCTGTACCTGCCACGTGGGGGACATCACAACACACACGCCTGTGGAGTCGGGCAGCTGGCAGGGTGCCCCAGCTCAAGGCGGGGTCAGCAAGGCAGCTGCCCCAGGACTCAGCAGGGCATCCCCTGATGGCGGTGAGGGGCAGCCCCTCTTCTGACCTCTGCCCCCTCCCGGCCTCTCTCCCACAGTGGTCACTGCCACGCTAGCCGAGACGGGCCTCGTGTCCCTGGGGATCCTGCTGCTCCTGGCCAGCCGCCTCCTCTTTGTCGCCATCAGCGTTTACTACTATTACCAAGTCGGCCGAAAACCCAAGAAAGTTTAGCCGCCCTCCCGGCCAGGGGCCCGTCTGGGGCAGGGAAGCCCTGACATCTCGGTTCCCCTTTGGTTCCGGAAGGCAGGAAGGACCCTGCCTCCAGGCAGGCAGGGATGGCCGCCTTCCTCTCCTCCTGGGCACTCCCCAAATGCTGTGATCTCCTGGGCCTTCAGGTTTGGGGAGGGACAGGGCCTCGGCACCCCTGTCCTTCCCCCCACACAGTGACGCCTCCTTTTCTTGAGTCTCTTGGCCTCTGGGTCCCCTGGACAGACACTGACAGAAAAGCCTGAGCCATGGGGCATCTGGCCAAGGCCAGGCCCTGCCCCTCTGCCAGGAGACCCTTCCTTCTTGAGAGAGGCTATGGTCTGCCTCCCTGTCCTCTGCCTACACCCCCAGCCAATCTAATGCCCAAGCAGCTGAACTTGGCTTCTGCCCATTGCTGGAAGACCTGAGAACTTGACCCTGCCCATTCCTTCAGTGTGGGCCCTCCTCACATGTAGGTGTCCCCTCTGTCCCCTAGACACCCAGCCCAGTTGTGGGCTAAAGGGCAGTGTGGCAGTCCCCTTTCAGCCTTCTGTGAGGGGGCCCACGGGTGGCCAGATCCTTGTCCTCGGCTCCAGGCCTGGCTGCCACGGGCTTTCTGGGGGCTTTGCTCTTGGCTACTCTGCCTCCACCCCAGCTCCTGGAGGCCCCTGGTGCCCCCTCCCCTAATTGGCTTGGGCCCAGATGGACACCTGGATAACCCCAGATGAAGGCCACCTGTAAGTGATGGGGCTTGGAGATGAGGAAGAAAGAAAAGCATTTCCTGTCTCTTGGCCTGTCCTCCAGGGTCTGGGGCTCCTGGCCCAGCCCCCTTTTCCGCAGTAGCCCCCTCCCAGGGTGCTGCCCTCTGGCCTTCCTGGGTAGGGAGGCCTTCTGGCGCAGCCTGGCCTGGCTGTGTAGGACTAGGTGCCCATCAAACTGAGCAGAAGAAAAAAAATAGAAATTACATCAGGCCACCTCCTTTCATGCCCAGCCCCCATCAGATGCCCTGGAGGAAGCCAATGGCTGGCTCCCTCAGCGCTGAAGACCCCTGCAGGCCCAGCGGCCTGTGTGCCCCCATGAGTCCTTTCTCTCCAGCATACCCAGGACCATGGCCCTCATGTCCTGGGGACGGATGGGGAGAGAGAAGAGGCTGAGACCCTACACTTGGCTCCTGTCTTGGAACAGAGTCGGGGATTAGATCAATGGTCCAGGTGACGCCCAGCTCTGGCCCTGCCACCAGGGCCTCTGCCTGGGAACCTGGCCCTGCCTACAGTGGGCCGCCCTGCCCTCCCCTGGGCCCAGCTGCCCCTGTAGCCACACTCCCAGCCACATGGCCTGTGCCCAGCGGAGTGGTGACACCACCGCTATTAACACAACCAGAAAGAGACGTCCAGCAGATCGGGTGCCCAAAGCTGCTGCCAGTAACTGGCCGAGCGGGAAGGAGCCGACACTGAGTGAGGGCCCCGCCTTTCCCGGCCTCCGTCTCTTGCCCCTGAGGTTCCTGCCTCTGCAGAATCCTGCCCCTACCGCCGAGCTGTGGGCAGGCTGGGTGCCACCACAGCCTTGGGGAAGTGGTATCGGTGGCTGGTAGGCCGTGCACCTGGGGCAAGACCATGTCCTCCAAGCTGAGCCACGCTTTTTGAGGCCCGGTTAATGTTCCAACAAGTGGTGGAAAGGTTGTCCCAATCACTGCTGGGCATGGTAGATAGGTTCCCTCCCAGGGAGGCTGGCAGGGAACCATTGGCATCGGAGTTGGGCCTTTGTTGGGCATCTGCTGGGGCTGAGCCAGCCAAACTGGGGGCTGGGTGACGTGGCCTTGCCCTTGGGGGTGCTTTTGAGGCCTGCTAGAACAGTGCTGTCCAGCTGTGGCACAAAGCAGTGCTTGTGGAAGTCCATGCTGCCTGGTTAGACATCAGAGTAAGGGGGTGGGGGTGGGGTGCTGGTAAACAGACACGGCCCGGGGATGGGGGACGTTAATGCTAGGAGGAGCCATGGTGGTGGTGGGAGAAGGTGACAAAAGGGGGAGGAACAAGGGGACCCATAAGTCCAGCGAGGAAGGCCTGGTAGGAGCTTGGCTGTCCCTCCAAAGGTTTGAGAAGACCCAGAAGGCCCCTTGCCTGGTTCACTCTTGCCAAGCTCCTGCCTCAGCCCCAGCCTCCCCCTCACCCCTCAGTCAAGATAACCTTTCCTCACGGTCACTATTTATTCTTCGTTCCTTTTCTTTTTGTAAGAAACAGTCACAAAAACCAGTGCAAAACCGTCAGTGTGGGCGTCCTGTTTTATATTACAAAAACTTCTCTTGGTATAGAATATAAAAAAGGGGGGCTCACAGGAAATAAACATGATAAATTAGCTCTGCTATCTACTGCGAGGAACATTTACAGTTTTCAAAATAGACTTTCGACATAGGACCCACCAGGGAAAGGAAGGGGGCTTCTTGGGAGATTGGGGTGCTGGGGCCTCAGCTGGTTTGGGGGATCCTGTCTGGGCCCCTTAGGCAAGGAGGGGGGAGGGGAAAAGGGAGGCTGGGGGGGACCCCAACCATCAGACCCTAATTTTCTTCCCCAAGAGGTGGCAGAGCAGGAAGGTGGCCTCCAGTACAGAGTGGGGTGTGTGACAAAGTGTAAGGTCTTTCCGAGCACTTGGCCAGTTAACAGGGGTCAGAGGAAGCCTCAGCGCTGCTCACCCCCCAGCAGTCCCAAATTGCCACCTGCACCTATGATGGGCTGTTGTGAGTGGTGCCTGATTGGGGCCAAGCTCACCCTCTCATCGTGCCCCACCTCGGGATGGCCGCAGACAGCCATGCAAACAGCTACCAGCCTGCGTTCATGCTGCAGAGCACAGACCCCTACTTCCCCTTCCCAGCTCCAGGGTGTGACCAGCGGGGGGCAGATCAGGGCTCCTTGGCCCCTTTCTGGAAAGCCTTAGGGGGTGAGAATCTCGCATCCGTCCTTGAGCCCACCTCAGCCACGCCAGGCGCTCCTCCTCGGCCTGCCCATCCTCCCTCTCACGGGGCTCCGAAGGCTTTTCTACCTTGAAGGTCCCAGATTCTGGGCAGTGGGGACCAGATGGGGCCCAGGAGCCTGAGAGGCCCCTGGGCTGGAGCCACACAGCTGCCCAAGTTGACCTTAAGCTGAAGGGTTTTTTTGTTTCGGTCAGCCTCACATCAGCCATTTGCTTCTGCCAGGAAGTTGGAGCTAAGCTTGTGGGTGGCTCTAGAGAGGGGCAGGCCCCAGGCGGTTCTCAGGCTGGGCTGGAGTAGGAGCTGTCTGCCCCCCACCCCGGGTACTGGGCATGCCCAGTCCACATCACTTGTGGAGTTGCCAGAGCAGGCTGTTATAGGGACTAGCTCAGAGACCAGGAGAGAGGGCTAGGATTGGTGAGGACAGCAGGAGGGTCAAACCAAATCTACAGCAGGCACAGAGCTCTGGCTGCATCTCAGATGGGGGTAGGTGACAGAGCAGGGGAGTACTGGGCTCTAGGCTGCTGCTTTGTTTCCCAGTGGCTGGAAACCTGGGGGGAGGCTAGAAGCTGGCACAAGGCCTGTGAGACGGAATAGGCTCTTCCCAGACCCTGAAGAGAGACAATGGAAAGAGGAGAGTAGGTACCACACTGTCCCTCCCATGACCATACCTGTGGCAGACATCACCAATCAAGCTTAAGTTGTTTGGCAGACATCACTAATCAAGAGTACGCTCTTCTTCCCCACTGAGCACAGACCATACCTCTGATCCTCACCACAGCCTCCAGCAGTCACTCTTGATTGATCAGGTTCAAGGCATCTTGCAATACAGGTGCCAACACTGGTCTCGAATTTGAGACCTACGTATGAAGGGCTGATTTGTGGGTTCTGTGTGGGTGTGAGTCTGTGGGAAACCTCCCTGCCAGACCTGGAGGGAACACTCAGAAATGTGCTATGGACGGTGAGGGGACAGAAAGCCATGTCACAGCAGAAATGATGAGATGCCCTGGGTTCGTTAGCCTGGAGATAACAGGGGAACAATGTGTGGTCTTAACACTTCGGGAAGAAGCCAGAGCGTGTGGGATGCGTTGGACGGAACCACAGAAAAACAGAAACCTTTCCTGTGTATTCAGCTGATGCTAAAGTCAGAGCAGTCTAAAGGCAGCAGCCTGTCTTGGGAGGTAGTAAGCTCCCTGTCCTTGGAGGTGTGCAAGAAGGTGGAGCAGTCTTGGCAGGGATCTTGCAGAAGACATCCAAGCCTCAATTCTGAGTGGGGAGAGGAGAACCACATGATCTTGGGGGTTCCTTCCAGCCCCGGGAGCCAGAGAGTTGGAAAACGGGACAGCTTGTGAGGAAAGGCAGGCAGTGCAGAAAAGGGGCTGGGGTGTGTGTACGTGTGTGTATTCCTGGGGTTTAGAAGTGTGGGAAGGTGGGAGAGAGGGCAGAGTCCAGAATTTTCTTAGCTGTGGAGCCAGGAAGAGGCAGTTCCTGACCATCCTGCCCTCTGTCTTCTGGGGTAACCAGGATGCTGAGGCCAGGGTCGGGTGTGAGCAGCAGGTCTGCCGGGACCAAGAGCCTGGGAGGGAGTGACCGGCAGTCTGGGGATGGCGGGGTTCTTGTTCAGAACTGTCGTGTGTGTACTGTGGGCTGTGAATGAGAAACTGCCCCTCTCGCTCGGCTTTCTGGATTATTCGGTCCAACAGATGGGGGAAGCATGGACCCTACCAGCTGGGCCATTCGTGGATCCAGTGTCTGCAGCCCCCTCTCGGCCCCAGTCTGAAGCAGGGACAGCGCCATCCTCCGAGGACCAGGGACTTCACGTGGGTTCCAAATCCTTAAGGACGGCTCTTCTTGGGGCCCCTGGGCTTTGGCAACCTCTCTCCACAATTTCCTTTGGCTGCCTTCTTGTCTTAATCCTTACTTTCTTGGCGTCGGGTCCTGAAGCTAGGAGTTGACAGCCCAGGTCCGGGGCTGCCAGATCCGTCTGGGCCGAGGATGGCGCCTGGCTCTGGTGCTGCTTTGGTCTCTAGTGCAGACTGCGTCCTGGTGCTGGGGCCCCTGCAGAGAGCCCGCAACACTACTCTGGAGTCCGGACAGGCGACATCAGTCCCTATTTTTGTCTTCATTTTGTTTAGTTAAAAAAAATAGCTATTTTCCTCTGCCCCTTCTCCTGGCCATCACGATGGCCTCACCTCCTCCCCCAGGGCCTAGAGGGCAGAGGTGTGGGGGAGGGGAGGGCATTGGGTGCTGGGCGGTGGTGGGCAGGGTGAGTCTTCAAGCTGCAGGCCACGCCCTCTACTGGATGCCCCGGAAGAGGCACATGGCAAAGATCATGGCAAAAAGCTGCAAAGAAAGTAGGAGTTGGCTGGTCAGGCTGTCTGCCCAGGGGCAGGAAGGGGGCTCACCCATCACTCTTGGCACGCTCCTGCTGAGGGGAATCCCTGACATTCCCCTGGGGGCCAGCCCCTCCTGCCAGGCACTGGTCCCCTTCATGCAGTGCAGTCATGAAAAGAAGCGGGCTTTGGACGTGGGTTCAAACCCAGCTCCTCCATTTGCCAGCAGCAAACTGGGACCAAACACTTCCCCTCTCTGGGCCTGAGAATGTATCAAGAGCTTACTGGGTGCCTGGGAACAGTTCTAAGTGCTTTCCCAGAAACATTTTCACAGACCAGGAAGCCAGACACAGAGAGGTCATGCAACCTGCCTAAGGTCACACAGCTACCATGGGGGGCATCCAGGGTAAAGTCTAGGCATTCTGACCATACTCATTGCCTCGTACCCTTCCCCTTGTAGCTCACAGGAAGGTGGTGAGATTGAAGTCTAAGGAGATTAACAACGCAATGAGGCCTGTTACAGAGTAAATGCTTACTGAAAAGCTACCAGGATTGTTAGTAACAGGCAAGGACGATGCAGCCTTCCCCAGATTAGGAACACAATCACTGAACTTGTCTCAGGGCCCTGGGGTGGGTGGGTGTGCAGAGACCTGGACTCAGGGATGCTCACTGATTCAGACTGGCTGATGCCCCCATGCCACAGTGCTTCCTGCAAGTAGCACAGGGCACAGCCCCCAGACCACAGGCTCCTAGTTGAATCTCCAGGAGGGGCAGTGGAGCGGGGGAGGCAAGGCACATGGTAAAGATCCCTGTCTCAGAGCAGGGTTCTGCCTCCCACAGGGGCCACAGCTGGGCTTGCGGTCCGGGTGTGAAGACAGTGGATCAGGGACGCAGACACTGCTTAATGAGCCCCTACCATGCGCCGGGCAGAAGTCCTCATCACCTGTAATCCCCACAGTGCCCTAGGGGCAGGCTTTTAGCCCCATTTTGCCGATAAGGAAGCTGTGGCTCAGGTGTCCTGTGTGTAGGGAGAGGCAGAGCTGGGAGTCGAACTCTAAAAGCCCAGGTTCTTCCTGCAGGGGACCCACACCTGCGATTTCCCGAGGGTCTGGCCCAGAGTGACGTTTCCTGTTCATTGTTTCCTCCCAGGAGAGGGCTTGACCACCTAGAACAGCGCTGGCACACAGTTGGGGTTCAGTCTTTGCTTGATGAATGACTGAATAAATGACCCCTCCCTCTCCTCCATCCTCAATAGCTTCCACAAAACCGCTCTAAGCACGGCTGTAGGACACAGTAAGAAATTAAGCTAGGCCACGTTTACAGTGCCAGGTGGGAGGGGGAGGCTGAGGATCCGGCTGCCTGACTTTATTTCCCGCCCGCCCAGGCCCGGGTACACCCCTTTCTTCAGATGGGCGGGCATAGGGCAAGCTGTCCGTCCAACCTCCCAGAGCAGCGGATTTGAGACCCCGGAGAGTGGGGTAGAAGGAAGAGGGCAGCTCGGCCCGATGACTGAAGCGCCACCTAGTGGTGGCTGTGCCAGTCTGCAGCTGCCTTCCTTTTGAGGGGGCTGAGGGGTCAGTGCGCTCCTGGTCTTCACTGCTGGGTCTAAAACTGCTCTTGTGAGATTAACAAGGCCCCACAGGCCCTGAACACCCCACAGAGAGAGGGCTTGATCTAGAAGCACAGGCTGAAGCCCCTGTCTCAAATCAGCTGTGTCCATCCTTCAGTTCACTCTGGACCTTGGGCGGGATGTAGCGGGTGGGTGGAGTGACTCTCAGGGCCTGACCATCCGCACTGCCTAGAGACGTGCTCAGATGTGTCCAGGGTCCCATGGTGACTCTCAGGCAGCAGACAGGCACGGCCGGGCTTACCACCCCATAGTCCTGCAGTGGGAGACCCACTGAGTCCTGCGTTAAGGACCTGGAGACAAAGGTAGGCTGGGGGTGTGGGCTGTGAGGGATTTGCCCCAGACCTCGTGTGGGCATTTTGCTTCTGGGGAGCTGCAGAAGTGGGGTCTTTACTCACCTCGATGGCCAGCACCCCTATGGCGAGGGCTCCGGCCAGGTAGACATAGGTTTCGAAGGCATTGAGGATCACCGTGTAACAGCCCTGGCAGGGAAGAAGGAACAGTGTGAGGTCAGGAGCCAGCCTTAGGACCAGGTGTGAAGCCTGGGAACTGGCCCGTGGCCCCAAAGCCCAGGCAGCAGCAGCCTACCCTGCTATACCGCTGTTGGGACAGTTTGGTGGGAAGCAGGAGGCCCATAAATGCAGCAACTTTGCAGCATTACACCAAAGACCCTCCAGGCCCGCAGGCAGAGCTGAAAACTGCGTCTGACTGCCACTGAATCAGCCACAGACCCTTTCTGTGTGTCTGCCACAGTGATTGGAATATTGGGAAATTTCCTATAAATATCTGGACTCCCTGCTGCTCTCAAAAAAATCAGAAGATCCAGCAAGGTAGGCTATCATTTCTCTGTGGCAGTACCTGTCAGATGGGACAAGTGCTCCCTGGGGGTCCACTGTCCCATCATTCCCTGTCATTCCACACCCACCCTCTCTACTCATTCTCATTTCCTGCCTTGCAGCTGAAGGATTTTGGTTTGCAGCCTCTGCCCTAAGGAAACACAGAGGATTCTTCAAGACCCAGCAAATATCTAACCTCCTCCAGGGAGACTTCCCGGACTAGCCCAGCTCTCACAGGGCCCCTTCTAAATGGATTGAATTCCTCTGCTATTACTGCTTTCTCAAGCAGTCCTCAGGAGATACAGACTGAGACAGAGATGGAGTCAGTGGGAGAGTGAAAGCAGGGTGGGTAGAGATGGCAAGTGCTCATGCACGCCAGCAAGAACAGAGCCAGGAGCTGCCAGCAGGTGACTGCTACCCCATCTGACGCTGAACACCTCACGCCTTGGTCATCTTCATGACCGTCTCCCTCCACCTGCACATGCTGACCAGAGACTGCTGCAGGATAGTTGCCTTGAATGAAATGTATTTTTAAAGGGGGAGAATTTTCTTTTATGAGAACCCGCATATTCTTTGGGTGTAGCCAGAGGACCTACCTTCCTTTCATTGGAGTTCAGTGGTAAATAGGGCTGGTGGACTAACTCAACACTACAGACAAGTGCCTCTGCCCTAACTCCTGACAGCCAGGTGACCGAGTGCTGGCCAGTGAAAACTAGGCAGAGGTCTACTGGGGCTTTCTGGGAAAGAAACTGGTGTTACCCTTTACCTTCTTTCTGTCCTGAACATGAGTTGGATGTCTGGAACCATGGCAGCCATTTTGCCACCATGAAGTGCTAAACACAAGGAAAGGCCACAGGGATCACAGAGACTGGGCCTTGACTGACATGACAGAGCCACTGATACATGTGAGAAGCCACTGTCTTCCAGAAGTCTTGCCATGTGTGAAACACAAAAGCATTTTCTTAATCCCCTTTAGTTGGGATTTTAGTTACTGGGAATCAAACATATTGCTCCCTGACTCAAGACTGTGATGGGGATGTGAGGCAAAGTCAAAAAATGCATCCTGGACTTCAAATGAGCTTTGGAGAAAAAACAGATAGAGTCTCTTGGCAGAGGCTTTTAAAAGGGAAGAATACTCAGGAGGGGTGGATGTCAGTGTCTCAGAAAAGGAATCGCAAAAGTCAATCTCTGATAAGCCTCATGAGGAACGGGGAAGAGTCATTGTAAAGAACTAATGGAGCTGCACAGGGACCTGTCTGATGAGCTTCGACTTCAAGGCCATGCCCAGGAGTGGGAAGGAAGCATCACAACGGAGGATGAATCCAGAAACAGGAAGTATGTCAGGATGCAGCCCTAAAAGAACGGGGCCCGTGAGAAGCCTCCCTGAACAATTCACAAGTGGCCTTAGGACATTAGGGCAGGTTTAGGATATTGGGGCAGGTTTGGCTGTGGGCAGCAGGCAGTCCTAACGGCAGCTTCTTCAAGTTAGAAGTCTGTCTTTATCGCCTCCGGAGCTGTGCTGGCCACTCTGCTCCATGGGGTTGTCCGTGGCCCAGGCTCCTTCTATCTTGATGCTCTGACATTCTAAGGGGTCACCCACCTCTGCAAGTACTGAGATGGCTGTCACCACTAGCTAGGGGGCGGGCACAGCGCTTTCTCTTATGGACATGACTCAGCTGCACAGATCACTTCTGCTCACCACCCTTTGGCTAGAACTTGGTCATGTGGCCCAGCTGCAAGGGAGGCAGGGAAGGGCAGCCTTTACCTGGTGGTCATGGTGTCTTATAAATCCCCTTTCCAAAGAAGAATCATGACCTGAGCCTGGGGACAGACAGCAGTCTCTGCCTCTGTATCGGGAATCTGAGGGCTAGAGAGTGTGTCTGGGGCAAGGTGACACAGCTGTTCACAGCCCAGATCTGGCTGACCTCACAGCCTGAAACTTCCCCCACGTCCTGCAGCCTCTCCTCAGGGCTGGGACCTAACCCCTGGGGCGGCCGTCCCTGCCCCAAGCTCACAGCGGCCTGATCCCAGGACCTTTGTCTCTTTGTTTAAGTTTCTTTCTCCCAGTACAGGAATACTGGGAGGCAGGACTGTAAGGGGCAGAGGAATATGGCTCCC